TAGATGAATCCCCTACAGTAAACAGCTGATACCTCTATTTTGAAAAAGGGGAGTTCCCAGCGATCACCATGTTTGATCACTGCAGGGTATCAATGAATTTTTGGTAAACCTACCTTTATATCCAATCGTCTATGTATATATGTATTCACATCATATCCCCATATATCCCCGTTATATCCCCATTCAAGCCTCATTTTTGCATCTCTTTGTTGCTAATAATTTCATAATTAGATCCCGCAGTGATCCCTATGATTCAATGATTTCCCAATTAAGGCTTCATTAAATGCCATGTTTGATTGAATCCTTAATGATTGAATTGATTAAGGGGATCATTATTGTATACCTGTTTGATTCAATGATTCAATGATTGCTCCTATGATTTAATGCCCATGTTTGAAAATGGCATTTAGTGAAGAAATGATTTCAAACATGATTTCAAACATGATTTCATTTTATATCCCCATGATTTCCCCATGTTTGATCCCCAGACATTACACATTCCACGGGTCGTCAAAACAACAGGCGATGCCTGCCACGTGCTCACGCACGCCCTGGGCAGCTTCACGGGGCATCCAGGACGGGACACGGCAACGGGGGCAACGGGCAACGGGCGTGGCCGGAAAAAAATAAGATGACCCTCCGTCAAATTCATGGAAAATCATGGTAAAATTCATGGAAAATCATGGACAATTCCCAGTTATAGATGATTATAGATGATTTTCCCGTTATTTTTTTTAACTTCCACCATTTCTATATATCTAGCTATATGGGCCACATTTTTCCAATTGCTGTTGTACAAGTTGGTGCCTCCCACTTGTTGGTTTATTCTAACCCCCCATGGCCCCTAGCGCCATAAACCCAACTTAAGAAGCCCAGGAGCCCACGAGTTTCCCAGGAGCATGATGGATGGTTTGAAGGACAGGGGGTCCATTGTTGGTGAATGGTGGATGCCATGATGGATGGATAGCTAGAAAAACGGATTTTGAACATCCACCATCTATACAATGCCATGATACAATGCCATGATGGATGGTTTGAAAGTTGGCGGACTTTTTGTTGCAAACTGAGGGATGTGTGAAACTGATATGGAATGCTGATGAAAAACTGGTGGCAATAGCTGAATTTCTTGCTGATTTTAGGTGGAGACAATCATATAAAATGAGGTTCATACAGCGAAAGGACTCCCCCTGGGGTGATCCGAGGCTGTACGTTGCCTGCGGGTTTCATGTTGTTTTTTTTGGATGATTCTAAACCGGTTCCTGCGGATATGTCTGAAAGATTCTGAAAGTAGGGCACCCTCAGTTGATGATCATTTTCCCACATTTTCCCACATGTTTCCCATTCAAACTATGCCCGATGTTTAAACACATGTGCCTATCTAGGTGATTCACAAATCTGACCATCCTATCACCTGGCAGGATGGTCCAGAAAAATACTTTCGATCTGTAGCCGTAGTTTCTAAGATCTTCTAAGGATGTATTTGGAATAGTATATATATATATATATTATATATATATATATATTCAACTAATTATTTGGTACATATTTACCATATTACCCGATTTACAGCACCAATTGACATATTTACCATATTTGGTCTATATATAGTAGATGTGGTATACAATGTAATTTCCATATTTAACTATAGTGGGATCATTGTCCATATTTGGTATCATATGACATATATACCATATTTACAGCACCTGGGACGATGATCCCATTACTTATGAAATGTCATGTTGGCAAAAGAATGTCATGTTTACCATCACCAGGCATCACCATAGATGGTATGTTTACCATTCTCAGTCATGGCTGGTTTATGCATGCTTTTTTCCAACCATTTGGGAATGGTAAACATTATGATTTAATGAAAATCCATGTTTAAACCAGCCATTTGAGAATGTGTTTTTTTTAAACCATTCCCAACGATCATTCGTTTTATGGTTTGCTTGGCTCCAAAACAAGCACGGAAATTCTCCAACTCCCAAGCCCGTTGCTGTCCTGTCCAGGAATGGATCTCTGACCTCTCCGAAGAGAAGTCGGCAACAAAAAGACACGAGCTGCAGCAAACTGTTTGGACATGTCACTGCAGCATTCTGTGGAGAAACCTGCTGGGTTTGCTACCCGATTTTATGATATTTTGTGGGTCTACCCAATAAATTGCAATTTTTCATGTGGCAAATGACAAATCACACTGCAATCCCTCACTCTAGGCTGACAAAATCACTGGGGCCTCAATCCCCATTGTCAATTGTAGATGTTTCTATCCCCATCTCCAATTATAATTGCCGAGTATATGCCATTATATGTGCCTATCGCTGTTGGTTGTTGGGGATCGTGCCATTCTTGATGTTTTCATCATGGTTTCTCCCCAGTTTAACTGTTGACATGGAAGTTCCCATGTGTCCTTCTAAGTTTTTTGAGTTTTGGATATGGATCAAACATGATCGGGCCATTCAAGACCAATATGGAGCCGGAAAAAAAGTATGCTTAGAATAAAGCCCAGACATTTCATTTGGTTGGTGGTTTCATACATTGTTTATTTTCCATTTATATTGGATGTCATCCTCCCCATTGGATTGACTTTCATATTTTTCAGAGGGGTTGGTCAACCACCAAACCAGTCATAGAACATGCCTTGAAATTCTCCAAGGGGTAGCCACTAAAAATGACTTGACCGACCCATACTCTGGGAATGCTAAAACATGTTGAAACCCTACAATGTGGGGCCCCCCAGTTATAAGTTGGTTTAAAGACCCTACTAACTATAGTTATAAGTACAATAAAACATAGTTATTGGAGTTATAAACCAACTTAGCTATCTAGGGGGCCCCACATTGTATGAAATCCATTGGAATACCATGGATCGAGGACTAACACCCATAGATCCGAGCTTTTGATGTTGAGCAGGGTAAGGGTTTTTGATTCATAATAGATCAAGAACTACCATAATATGAGGCGGCAGGCATGGAATTGTGATTTATCAACAAAACTGGGAACAAACATTTTGACAAACCGTCATATATCAGACTATCATTTGTGATAATTATTACTATTTTACACCACTGTTGCATGTTCCGCAGCTGCCATTTGAGTTCAAACAAGCGACGCAAATCGGGCAGCGCGCGGCAAATTGGATCCGCCGCCGGCAGGAACAGGTCGGCTGGGCGCGGTCGAGTCACAGCGAACGAAGGTGCCGCCTGCGGGGATGCTTGGGAGAATCATCTGAGGAATTGTATGGTGAAATGTTACATTTAACAAGCTAAGGGATACAATGATCCGTATACAAATATGTATTCATTCACCATCATTGCCCATCATGAGCAGATGGCCCCCCCAAGCTATAGATGAGTTGGTTTATGACTACAAAGAACTGTTGGGTTTATAATAATATCTATATACACATGTTTGGATTATCAAACTATGTAGTTCCGGATGGTTTTGTCAACGAACATTATGGCTAACTATATGTTAGCTATCCCCATTTTTTTCCGCCATGTTCGGACAAAGCAACAACGCATCTCTAAATCTGTGAAACTTAAGGTTTTTTTACCATGGTGAAACCAGGTGAAATCCCGGTTAAAACCATGTTTTTTCCCCATTTTGGATGAGTTAAACCATGTTAAACCATGTTAAAATGCCACACATATTGCCAGTTTGGATGGTAAAATCTTATTGTTACGCATAGATGTCCGATCATATTCCCATTGTATCCCGTGTTATTCCCATGTACACCAAGAAACACGGAAACATTGGGGTATTTATCATCAACAATATGGGGAAACATCACAATATGAAAAAAACACCAAGAACTGTTGACAATTATAACCAATCATAAAACAATACGTATCATTTGAATCATTTGTCTCTCTCTATCCATCCAGTTTCCCTCAAGATCTGGGGTCGACTGGAAGCAAGCCTAACTGAATTTTATGCTGCTAAGATATGCCATGTGTATGGCTCAAATCCCAATTCCTATACGTTTCTTGGTGATATCATCATGAAATCAGCATGTGTCATTGTAAAACCAGGCTCAAATCCCTCAATGTTTCCATGTTTCTGGGTTCAATCACAAGTTTTCTGGTTTAAAATTTACCAATTCTTTAAACCCATCCAACTCTAACTTCATCCAACCAGATATGACTGTTTTCTGCTGAATCCAGAACTCAAAAATCCTCCATTTCTTGAGCAAAACCCCTTTATTGCCTTGTCAGGTCAGAGCCGAAACCGAGCGCCCGAGATGCTGGCCTCGGTCACTGGGATTTCGCATCCCAAAACTCGCGGGGTTTCATGGTGATTTTTTCACCATGAAGATAGATGGAAAAGTGGTGAACAAAAATATACACATGGTGGTTCAACCATCAAACAAAAAATGTAAAATGGTGATTTCACCATGAAACTGGTGAAACAAAATGGTGGTTGAACCGTGAAAAAGGCTGGTGGAGGTCATCCCCCAGTTCATCAACCAATGCCCCTCCTCACATTTCAACAATCATTTCAGAAAAAGCTATGAAAATCATCACCAAACTATTCATTAAACAACTCAGTTCAAAGGAACACTCCCATCGTCCAATCATAAATTGGTCCATGCCAAAAAGACGGTGGCCTTTTTGTTGGACGAGTTCATCAATAATTTTCAGGCGCGCAGTGGGAAGGATTCGGGGGCTGATTTCAAGTTTCAACCAACCCAGCTGCAAAGACTGACACCATGCACTTCGAGAAGCTGTTGTGTTTGCAATTTTCAGGGCCCAAGACAGGAAGTGAGCAGTATTAGTCGATCTTGGCACATGGTTCTTCCCAAAAAGTTGCAGTGGTTTTGGGATGTGTTGGATGTGGGCAGTTCTTTGGTAACTCGATACAGCAACAGGACTGTGCGAAGATTGCGGCAGCAGCCATGGAGCTGACCTTGCGGCAGCTGGCGTTTATCATGTGGCCAACCTTGCGGCAATTTGTTTTTATCGTCGTGGCCATCATAATGTTATATACAATGTTAACGTGTTTTCTTGGTTCCATTCTAGAAGAACTGGGAATTCTGTTGCCATCCTCGCTGGCAACGGCGCTGGACACCGCCACGGGTGGAAGTCCACCGCTCATGCTCACTGGGCAAAACAAAATGAACTCTAGCAACTATAGCACGACCATCAAGGCCCGTGTGCAAAATACCACGGCCATGCCGCTGCTATGCAGAGACATCATCCCTTTGGATGCCGTGGCCAACATCTCGGTGGCGGCGATTTGCTCCAAATGGTGCCACGAAGCGCTTGGGCCCAACAGCGCAGCGCCGTACATGTTGAGCCCGTGGCACGTGTTTTGGCTTCTGAAAAGTCAGCAGGGCCACATCTACCTGACTTGTTGGAAAGCCCAAACCGCAGCATGGGCTTTAGAGCTCATGCCTGAGTTGTATTGGATCTACCTGCTAGCCATGGTGTATGGAGTATGGAGCATCATAGCATTCCTGTGGACATTTTGCAACACTGAGCCACAAACGATTCCAGGCGGCCCTGCACAAGACCATGTCACTCCTGATGGGCCGTATGGAAGGAGATGTGGCGACATGCCTTGTTGCTGCTTGCCTGTCAGGTCCAACCAAGCACTACCACTAGAGAATGGATGGAATGAAGCACCATTGTGCTACCCAGCATCCTCCGACCGGAACGGCTCAGAGATCGGCCTCAAGATTGCCGCATTCTTCATTTTGTTCGAACCATTTGGAGACATCGTGTCAGTCCTTACCATTCTGCGCATAGGACAGCCTTTTCCAGCTGCTTTCATGGCTTTCGGGATAGCCTTAGCTTGCGCCGTTTCAGGTGACCCGTTACAGCTGTCAGGAGCCCATGCTGTGGCAGAAAGCTTGCGAAAGGGTTTCGAGACACGAGGCTTGATGCATTACAAGGATCATGAATTGTGGGAGAGCTGTATTTGTGCTACAGTGCAGGTCTACAGCTTGATGTCTCTTCACCCGAAGACCGCGAAGCTTTCGACAGGGCTGAACTTGCTGGTGTCTGCCAGCGTCAACCTGGCGATCTCGATCCCTGCACAAGAGCAGGCAAAGTACGTAATCGGTGAACTCAAAGACTCAGACTGGACCTTTGCCACGATTCAAGAAGCTAAACGGTCTCCGGCTTTGCGCTGCCAAATGGTTGTGACGACCTTGGGCATTGTGCTCACTGCATCGATGGCCATTTTGCTTCAAAAAGTACCACCTGGCGGAGACCTTAACATGGAGCCGTTTTGGGGGAACTGTGGCCCATCCTCTGTGATCCGGAGACGTGGCAGCAGTGGCTTTTGGCCTTGGTGGTGATTTGCTTCCGGGTGCCCTGTGATTGCTTGCTGCTGATATGTTATATCTTCGGAATCTTCGGTAGTCCCTGGCAAACCATAGCCATGGGTGTGCTTGGGTTCACCTATGGGGCCACCTACTTTCACTATGGCTATAGTATCGGCTATAGAATAGGCCGTTTTCTGTCGGATGCACGCTCAAACATCCAGACAGATGGACTTCCCTTGCTAGACGCTGAAAGCCCCCTGATCTCTTCCAGGTTTAGCTGCCTGAAGTGCGAGGATTCACAGTCGTCAGAAGAGTCAAGCGAAGAGTAAGAATGAATGTGCAGTCAGCGGCTAGTTTCATTAGGATTCACCAGGTATAGTTTGGCAATGAGGAAGCTGTGGCAGTCCATTTCGCAGCCTGGCCATTGTAAAGATTGAATGTTTGATGGAAAGGCAAGGGCGAAAAAACAACTGGCAGCACCTTTTTTTTGAGAAAAGCCGTCTTGAAATCACAGCATTTTCGTCCGGAAGCTTTTGACACCCTGACACCTACACCGTGACAGGCTGGTCATCACCAGCTGTGGGCTCCCAGATGGGTTTGGTTCGTGCAACTTATTAGGGGTAAAATCATCCCACCTGTTTGAACAAGCTAGTCCTAGCATTGATTTTCGAGTGTTTCTTTCAAAATCAGTTTTGGAACTATGTTAAACACACAAACCGTTAATTCAGATTTCAGAGCGTTCTACATATGAGAGGCAGCATGCCCCAGTTCAAGAATTTTGGAAGATGATGTTGTGGGCTTTATGGGGATGGTGTTTTTTGATGATTGGGCTTTGGGGGAAATGGTTATAAAGGAATTTACAGTTGCATCATGATATTGGATGATATTGGATGGAGTTTTTGAAAGATTCTTGGGATGAAAGTTTTTTCCTTGGAAGATGGAGTGTTGTTTTGATATGACTTGTTTCATCAACAGGTCTTTGATGATTTGATAGGTTGTTCCGACATGATTGTTGCAGTTTTCAATGACTGTTCTGAATGGTATTGGTTGATGAACTGGAGGATGACCTCCAATAGCTCACATGCTGCGATCACTGGTTATTTTGTTATCAAGAATGTGGATTTCATCAATGGATGACCAATATCTGGTAATCCCACAACAAATCCACCAGTTCTCAGGCAGCAGATCTACAAGGAAAATGACATACATTGTTTTGAAGGTCCCTTTAAGATGCATTTGCCCAAGTTATGTAAAAGTTGGTTTATATCGGCCATGAACTAGTTTGATATACATGTTGTAGGTATAGACATATTTATATATACACCACAATCCCAGCCAGTGATTTTTTATTTTTACGAACTTCGCCGACTTAGCCAACGACTTCCAGCATCACCGCAAGCACGGAATGGTCCAGGTGAAAAACACATTTCTCCACTGGTACGAAGCACCCGTGACCTTGGCTCCCCGCCTACGCTCTCGCTCAGCAGGGCAGCCCATAGTGGCCATGATGGCCCGGGGGAGGGGATGAAATGAGGGCCTTGATTCAAGCATCAAACATGGGGATAGAATCTGTATATTGGTTATTCTATTATATATATTTGTACAATGTGGGGCCCCCCAGTTATAAGTTGGTTTATAAGCCCCAGCAACTATAGTTATAAGTTATAAGTACCATAAACCATAGTTATTGGAGTTATAAACCAACTTAGCTATCTGGGGGGCCTCACATTGTAATCATATGTTTAATGATTATATAATATGGTTATTAATATAAGGATCTGGTTGTTGTTTTAACCATATTTTGGATTCTCTACTATTCTCTATCCTGCTTATCCCTTTTTGAGATGATCATCACCGACGAACATAGTTGTCGGCATTGAAACTCAGTTGACTCGTTGGGATTCGTTGGTCTTGCTTGTGGTTTTATTGGTGTCAACGATGTTTGAGGTGGTGGTCCCCAATTGAGCATTGGTGTTTTTGTTTAGATTTTTTTGATGATGAAGTTTTGACAAATGGGAACTGCATGTTGCGTAGGGCTGCTTATATGTGTTTTGCAGTGTAGCGTAGGCTAGGCACTTGTTGATTTTTAGGCATAGGCAAGATTGCGCATGCTGAGCTGCAAACCTCTGACTTCCGCGTATGTGATCAAAAACTTGCGTAAGCGCGTGCGTAGGCGTCTTATATATGTGCTAGTTCTTATATATGTGCTAGTTTAATCCATTGTGAAGTCGATGGAGATTTAGTTTCCTAATCAAGTCTTTTTGGGTTTCCAATATTGGCTGAAAAACATGGAAGCCTTGGTTAGATCCACCATTTGGATGGTTCGGTCCACATGTTTCACCATTTTTTGATGGTCACATCATATTGTTTGTTTTACAGACATCCATATATACCTACAATGTGGGGCCTCCCAGTTATAAGTTGGTTTATAAACTCCCATAACTATAGTTATAAGTTATAAGTACCATAAACCATAGTTATCTGAGTTATGTTCACCAACTTAGCTATCGAACGGGGGCCCCACAGTGTAGATTCCCCAAGTACCTTGAAAATGTGGTAGTAGTACCTGTACCCATCACGGCTTGGAGGGTCTAAGTAGCCTCTGGTTTTTCTCACCGTGGCAATGCAAAATCCCCGAACAAAATGGGGGTTCTGATGGGAAAATCACCAGCAAATTAGGAGATTGTCCATGGCCACGCTTCATGATTGGGGAGCAAGATTCACAACCACTAACCGTTAATAAACACTTGGTATCCATCCGTAACCATACATAACCATTCATATTTACTTGTAGAAGGTGATAAGTGATAACCATGAATAACCATTAATCACCACCTATTCATAACCATGAATTATAGGTGGATAACCACTACTACTGTGTGCCATTCGTATCCCATGATCTTGGTGAAATTCCCCAGTGATATGCACCTCAGGCAGACTCCCATCTCGCCAATGAGACGGACGATGCCTGCGTCGCCAGCCCCGAAGGGTTCATGATTTGGATGCTTAAAATGGATGCCCCCATTTTAGGAAGCCTCCAGCATAGATGTATGATGTACTGTTTCAATGAAATGGAGTGGAAAATGGAAAGGATAATGGAAAGGATAATGGAATGGAATGTTTAAACACATGGATACACGGATGTATGCGTCAACATTATCCCAACATTATCTAAAATGGGGTGTAACCTGCAAAAACCGATATTTTGACAAACATGGTGATGTTAGTGGCTTGAACCTTTGGCAATCTACCCTGGCAACTGGGTACCTCTGAAAATTATTGACCCAACAAAAGCTTAGTTTAATAGCACAGCTGACCAATAGATGTGTCCATTATGGTCCATTGACGGCCCCATCTTTGACCTCTACCGAAATAGATCCCCAGAATCAACTGGTCAGGAGGATTTGATCGAATGACCTCTTGGATGGAGAAACCGTCATGAATTAAGCGATGTTACGTATGAAAAAGATAACACGTATATGACACCTGTTGGTTTCTCAATGTTGCCATGTGAAAAACGGGTGTTTCTTGTTATGTTCACCATTGACATTCAGGTTTTTCCCAAACTGTCTCAAGGATGTCAAGGGTTCTGGAACTTGTCCAGGTGGGAAACCGACCCCAGCCACCATTATTCATCGAAATCACCAAATTTGATCGTCAAAGTATATTTTTAGTCATGTATCCTAGGATATCTCGATTCTGGTTGGTTCTAAATTTCCATGTTTCTTTGTGATTGTTGATAGCATGCAAGTTTCCTAAACATCCTTCAATTCTGATTGGTGATAGATGTCCATGTTTCTTGGTGAAATTCCCATATTTTGATGCTTTCCCAAAGTGTTGGTGATAAATCCCCCATGTTAGTTTCCATGTTTCTTGGTGTACAATATTTGAATATCATGGGATACATTGGGAATATAGTAATGAAACCGGAGATCTAAGCAACTATTGTTGGTTATGTTCTTCAAAAACAATGGTATCCAAAAGGTACCCAAACAGTACCCCAATGTCATAGCTGGGATTTATGGATGTTTATTTCCCCAGGAAAATATGGTGATTCATTGACCCATGATGAGCGTCGTTTCGAGGCCAAAAAGTTGAACCAACTTTTGAAAGAGCCACAGCGTCGGCGCGAACTCCTGAGCCCACTCCCCGAGTCCCTTGGCGATGGCAACTCTAGACACGGCTTTTTTTAATTGGGGATTCGAATTATTCAACCATGAAATTTGGGGGTTTTAGGATGCTTTAATGAATTTTATGGTGTTTTATGGGCCACATGGGTATATATATATATATCTATATAACTGATAAATGAGCATGTGAGCAGTGTACAATTCTCGGGAACTATCACAATCCAATATTGGATTGTGGTTATATTATATTATCATATATTCTCCATTAATGTACTGCTTCGTGTGGCAAAAATTACATCCATAGTAATCTCCCTTTGAGAAGATGGCGAATTCAAAGTCCTATAGGGACATAGATTTCAAAGTAAATCCGATTTATAAAAATGATACATATGTTGTTTCTATCTTTTTTGGGGTTGCTAGTTGCGTGTGTCTGCAAATGGAGGATGGCCCCCCAACGATTGATGGCAACCAAAAACCATGCACGTGACAATGCATATGGTGACAGCACTGAAAACGAACAGCAACAAAAAGCTTCCAGTTAATATGACTGGACATTTTTGTGTCTGGAGATGGGATACCCCAACATTGTTGGTTTATCAGTTGAAGCCGCCATTTGGGAATAGAATACAAGTTTAGTCACATACATCTATTAATAGTTGTACATAATAGGATCTAGTACATCTATTTAAACATAATAGGATCTAGCCATGTCACCAAGCGCGATTCGGCTGCCAAACCTAGGCAGAAACCCAGGCCACTCCGAAGCAAGCTTTCCGGGGGGTTCATCGTTGCAGCAAGGGTGATCCAACCCGCACTTTTTGTGCGGATCGAAGCAACATGAAATATGATGAAATATGATGTTTATTATATGATGAAAGGGTATGCATGTCTGTAGAAATGAGGGTTTGATTCCCGTTTTTTTTTCCCCGCTGATCATCCATCATGACATAAAAGGCGACATCCACCTTCAAGCTATGTATTCTCTTGCAGTGAATCTGGAAATAGCATGTTATGGTTTCGTCACTTTCAAATCTTCCTTCTTGTAGTGCGCTTTGAAACCAAGTGTGTTTATCTCCTTGTAGATACCTAAAGAGCTTTGGGAAAGGTACCAAACCGGCTATGAAGGGGGGTTAGCACAGCAAAATCAGTTCAATACTCCTCGAAGAATCTCAAAGACCATTGCACTATGATTGCTGAGTCATTTGGGATTATCATGGATTATCTATCATCCCCCCGTTTTATGGTTTCAACAACAGAAACGTCGAAATCCTGGGAGTGCACCTTGGCATCTGCGGTTTTTATCGCCAAAATCAGCGAAGGAGTCACCATGATAAACCAATCTTTGCTCATTCAACGAAACATCGTTTTGTATATGTTTGTCATCAATTCTGATGGGTGACCTTATTTTTCTTTGATGCGAGACGTAGTCGACGTAGATGTCGACGTAGATGATTTAGCGGCTATCTCCCATGGTTTAACTGTGTTTAATCATGAAAACACTACCTGGAATGATCATTGACACAATGATGAAACCATATACAATTATATATATATATATACACAATATATAATATATGTGTAATTATGTGTATATATATATATATGTATGATAATATATATATATGATATGGGTTTAATCATTAACACTACCTGGCATGATATATAATCAATATTATTCAATGACTACATGGATGGTGGCACCATCTCTGCCCCAGGGCTCCATCGGTTGAAGAGCTGCGAGTGCTGCAACGTCGCATCACAGAGGTCTCAGGTTGGACACGCGGCGCGTTCGGGTTGGTTTATGGATGTTGGTTGGATGGGATAATAGTGGTTAATAATGGTTAATAATGGTTAAAACCACCAACCATATATATTTATATAGTAGTATCTGGGTAAATTATAACGACCTCACTGTTCTCCCTCTCTGGGAATGATGGTTAGTAAGGGGAATCATCCCCAAATGGCCGAACTATTCAGGTTAGTGAAATATTTTAATTTACCCAGATTATTGGGTCATAATAGATAAAATGGGTCATAATGGATAATAGTTGGATGATAATGAACAATCATGGAAGAATAAAATGGGATATATGAATGTTGGTTATTTGGTTGGATGGGATAAACATGAGATAATAATGAATGAGACAATCATGGATAGTAATGGGATATTCATGGGAGGATAATTAATGGATAATAATGGAACAATAATGGAATAATAAAGGAAAATAATGGGATAATTATGGGATAGTAATGGTTTTAACGATTGTAAATGACAGTAATTTTTAGTCTTATAAGGGATGTACAATCCGGTTTCATCAGACGTGACTGGCTGGAAAATCCACCACAGCAGGGTTTTTTTTGGTTTCGACCCAGAAGCAACTGGGAGAAATCCCAAAAATCACATGGTTGAAACAAAAATCACATGGTTTGGAACATGGCTTTTATTTTTCTATATATATATATATAATTATACATATATATATATATGGGGATGTCATAACCCCAACTGACGAACTCATATTTTTCAGAGGGGTAGGTCAATCACCAACCGGCAACTGTTTCGGAAAGTGGCCAAGTTACAAAGGCACCCCCCTTTGAAGCCGATGAAAATGCCAGGACTTTCGGCCTTGGCACCTTGGAGCAGTGAAATGAGAATTTGGGTTGGTGGAAAAAAAAATCGATGGGAATCAAAGATTTTGGTGTAAACTTTCGACCACGGGATCTTGGCCATCAGAAAATAATAGATAATCAATGATAATCATACACTACGGATCTTAGATAGGTACAGTCCGCAGGTATTGACTGACCCTAACGGGCCAAACCACCCTTGGTAGTGAATGGGTGAATTGTGACTGACGAGGGTTAGGGACCGTCTTGGGGAAGGGGCAGGGTACAACATAATACCACCTTGTATGGATTGTTAAGTTTTGTTAAGCGTGATTGGTAGGTTTATTGCGAGGTAGTTTGTCACCAATCTAGTTTCTAAGCCGGCAATGGAAGAACCCTAGGATGGGAAGGGTAATCAAGCACTTACTGACCGACACTCACCAAAACCTCACGTTATATGATGGTGACTTTTTCCATGTGCAAAACCAGCCTCTCTATGATCGGCAGACGTTCGCCCTTGAGTCGTTTGCGTTTTTTCTAAGGAGCCCATTTTTGGACCCCACCCGACCGAGGAGGGCGAAAGTTTGAAGAAGCGGATCCTCTCAAGCAGCTCAGTGAGCACCATGGCCTCTGAGGCCGAGGAGCGGTAAAAAACGACCGGGATATGGCAAGGTGGTGTCCCATACTATACGGATGGTTTGAGGTGCTAACTACAAGGTGGTGCCCCCGTTCGATAGCTAAGTTGGTGAACATAACTCCAATAACTATGGTTTTTGTTGGTGATATATCTATAGTTTTCATGGGCTTGTAAACCAACAAACATCACTGGGGGGCACCACCTTGTATGGTTTATGGTAGATCTTGGATTCTGGGATAAGAAGTGGATAGATTTGGATTGTGTTGACCTGCCCAAAAGAGTTTTGAGTTCCAGATGTCTGAATTATTGAACAATTTATCCAGATATAGCCAAGCTGGTAAACATGACCCCAAAATCGGGTTTATGAGTTGATATATCTTGAGTTGTTGACCATTGAAAGTTGGATAAAGATGGGTTGGGAGGTTTCCCCTTAAGAAAACATCCAACCAATGTGGCCTTTCCATGCCTTTCCCCTTTTGCATGGATCCAATTTGTTGTTCCGAATAGGTCCAGAAGAATTGACCTGGATCTGTGCTTGTTGGTGATATCCCATAAGACATCCCATTATTTGTTGGTGATGTTCCAAATTCTAGTGGGAATTTTCTGGTCCATCCAAATATTTCTGATTATATCCCATATTTGCCGTGAGTTGTTTTTTTCAGCAAAAGGGAATGGTCATCTCCCCATCAAACAGGTTGAATATTTGCATGCTAAGGAAGCACGCTCATGATGGTGGGATGACCACAAGATGTTTTGACCCTGGCACATATCATATTCCATGATATCCCATGTTGAAACGTAAAATGCACTATTGTTCATCTTCAAATCCCTCTACTATGCTTGGTACAAGCAACCAACTTGATGGGTACGGTACAGGTTCCTTCCTCAAAAAAAGTATCGTGAAATGACTGTCAGATTGTTCCCCTAGGCGGTTATCCCAGAATACAAATCCCCCCCCTCAAAGAAAAAACATGTTGTTTCCGGAAATTGATGAACATGTCTGAAATGAATTGAAACTACGTATATCAAACACATCTGGTTGGTGGTTTCAAACACGTTTATTTTTCCATTCAGTTGGGAATTTTATCATCCCAACTGACTTTCACTCCATCATTTTTCAGAGGGGTAGGTTGAAATCACCAACCAGATTATTCTTAATCATTAGCCATATTTCATAACCATGATATTGACCATTATTAACCGTAGATTAACCACATGATTCACCACTTATTAACCAGACATGTTCCCCCGGAAAAAAAAAAAAAAAACTGTTGGTTCCTGGAGATGTTTCCTGGCCATCCAGTGCCAGCTCCAGGAGATGCGTCCCACCAAGGTGCCTTTAGGATGTTTAGGACGCAATTCTGCGTGCCAGTGGTGGGTTTCAAAGATGGTTTTTGTATGTTTTTTGTTCTAAGAAGTTCCCTACTACTAGGAAGAATTTTGGAGTTTCTCTAACAATTTGTGTTTCAAATTGTCTCAAACATGAATTGTTCCCGACTATTTGGAGATGGTAAAGTATGATATGGTAAGGATTTATATGGATTTATGTTTTTTTAAGCGTTGACAGCAATAACTTGGCAACCAGTGATTTTGTTCAAGACTGCTGACTGCTTGAAAATGAAGCTTCGGAATTTTAGATCCTAGGGTTTAGATTGACCCAGCAAACGTGTGAACGTGATCAGCGCGGCCTAGGCATGTTCGTACTGTTCGTTGTAGTGAGGTATAAAGGCTATCAACGCTGCAACGTGCCCCCGAATTATATCTAGATATTCTATGGTTATCTATGGTTATCTATGGTGTATGGTAGATCTGTAGAACCTGTTAATGGTCTTGTAAAAACCAGCAAAGATAATGTTTGAACACCCTGTAGGATATCATACCCAACATGTCTCAGCACTTCTACAGTGCTTGGGCCCAAACCATACCGCACCGTTGCAATTGATGTTCATCTTCAAAAAAGGGAACATTATTAAATTACAGCCATGGTAAGTACTAGTAAAATCCCAGTCATTGGGTGAAATCCACATATTTGGTGGTTTAAATCCAATATAATACATATATCTATATATATACGTATGTGTATAATTTTGTAAAATCTCATTGTTGCCATCAAATCGACATTGTCGCCAGCCCAACATGTTTCTTGCTTCTGGAAGACTCCCTTCACGAAGATGCAGACAAGTAATATCCAAATGATTAAAAGAAAATAGTGGCACTATCTCCTAAACTCGATCTCCCCCCGGTTTGTTGTTCCCATCTTTTTAAACCACGGCCCCGGCGGTGATCTGCGTGGCAGGTGGGCAACATGTCCAAAGCTCGCTCCTCGGGGTCGGTCTGCTCCATGTGCCCCTCTGAGATGCTCCTGGAAGAAGGCGGTCGAGACCGGTCTGGCTGTGCAGGGGTGGTGTGCAGCCTTGGTTTCATATAGGAAACAAAAACACAGAATGAGGATTTGATATCATGGTTTGGTATAGTTTAAGAATGGTTAAAGGTTAGATAAATATGACTTATATGTGTAGTAGATTGTAGTAGTATGTGATAGTCATATTAGTAGTAATAGTGATATGTGCTAGTAATATTGGTAGTACTAGTAATATTAGTAGTAATAGGAAAAGACATAAATAACACATTGAAACCGTGAACCAGCCAGGTTAGAGATGATACCTTCCATCGACCTATAGACCCCATTCTTTTGTCAAATGGCCGACACACCTGACAAGGGTCCAGAAGTGTCATGCTGCCATCGGACTCCAGGCCAGATTGCGCCCATTATGGAGGCGTGCCGTGAGTTTCTGATGATTTTCTGACTGGCTGGACTTTTGGCCTGGACCTGCGCAAAAAAATCCTTCAACTGTAGAGGAATCCCCAAATAGATAGAGCAGTAGTTTTGGCCAGGACATTGTCGATGCTGTTTAAAGGGTCCATGATATGCGTGCTTTGAACCTGTCCATCTGTTTGGGTTTGCGAACGATATCATGGAACATATCTACCCATTCTTTTTGTGGATGAAAATAGATCAATCCATGCATAAAAAGTGTTTCTCGGTCGTGGCTCAAATCAATTCAAAACTAACATTACCGCATATGACCACCCCAAAAACCAGATCAAGAATTTAGCTTAAGCCATTACCCCCACAGAAACGATGGAAGTTTCTGCCGAACACACCGGCCCCAAAACGGGTGCGTTTTCAGCGGCCGCGCGAGGAGTCCGGGTGTCCCACCGTAGCCTCGGCCAAGGATGGGACGAAGGCCCGGGGAATGTCCAAGTCATAGCTGGTTGATGGATGGTTATTCCCGTCAAAAATATGGTAATTTCACGGGTGAAAAGTTAGACCCATCCCCATTTGAGCCACAGAATGATGGGATCTACTGGGATCTCATGTAGATGTTTTTTAGGTGATGTTTTCATGGGATATGATCCCCAAGGGGTATCCCTTTCATGTCCGAAAAAATTCAGCTTCATGAATTACCATCTGGTTATGACTAACGTAGCCATGGTATAGATGGCCCATTTATAGATGGTTTACCTATAACCTATTAAAAAATGTGATTTTCCATGGCTATGTTAAATAACCAGAGGGTATTGTGATTGTCTAGATTTATAGTCATCAAAGAGTGAGACTCGTCATCGAAACATTTGACTTTGAAAATATGTTTTCGTCAATCAAACACAACATGAAGATATATGAAGTGGGATGTATTGTCAATGTGATAAACTGATAAACCATGATAAACCCAATGCTTTAAACTTACTATTTGGAATGGTTGGACAGCCATTGATCGCAGGTGGAGTTTACTCACAACCAAGTGCCGAAAAATGTGAATCTGGTCCGGGCGCACAGACCAGGACCCCAACTTTGCTTTGGTCTTAAATTTGTAGTGACTACTGTATACCCTTTGGTAATTTAACATAACTGTTGAAAGTGTCCCATTTAAAGTTGATTTACCTATTTAAAAAGCATGGTGATATTCGACAGCGAACGATTAGTTTACCAGAGGGCACAAGTACCCACTCATGCATTTGTCGACAGTTCGACTTCACCCATCCAACTGTTATATCCACAGTTGTCCAAATGGTTTGTTTGACACGGGAAACCTTAAATCCAATGGTCACCCATCATTGTCCATTGATTTGATCGCCGTTTGGGGGTATTCTCCACCATACTTCCATCCGGTTGCCTAGTTTTATAAACCAACTTTCCGTTCCTAGGGGGGTCCACTTTGTAAGCATGTAATTTACATTTTTGTTTAAAAAAATATATATATTTATATTATTTATGTATATAATAATATCTGATTGTACAAACTGCTCTGTTGGGGATTGTCATAGTGTAACCCATACTACGGATAGCTATTTACTAACCAGTATATATATATAATGGGGATGGGATAGGGGTATGACGCGATTTGGGTTTCTTAATGCTCCTACTCATGTCGACAACTATCCCCCTTACACGTTTAAGATCCTGCGATTTTTGAGCACTGGTTGTTGGAAGTCCTTCTTTGTACAAGGACGTGTTCCAGCATCCCAAGAATCATTGGATTGAGGTTTCCCAACTTGGCGTTCACAAACTGGGGCACCATCACATGGTTTCCCAGATGGGAAACCCCATCAAAAGTCCCAGGAAATCTCCCCTGGAGATTCCCTTTGTAGCACCGACCCATTGGACCAAGGCGGCTGAGTTCTCCAAGAAGGGCTTGGAGAGCCCACCCACCACCATGATGATTCGCCCCTTGGCAACCTATGGTTAAAAACCAATGACAATTAGCCTCTGGTAAACTAACATAGCTGTAGAAAATCACCATGTTTAATGGGTAAATCATGGTATATCAACTATAAATGTGCCATGTTCTATATCTATGTTAGATTACCAGAGCGTAGCCTCTGCTAGTCCAACTGGGCAATAGATGGCAATAGAACAATGACTCATTTTGCACATATCTTTCTACATATGTCCTTCTCTTCGCAAAATAGGATGAAAGAAGATGAAATATTGTGGATGGGCCAGCGAAATCCTGCACCAGTTGAAAACGGTGGTAACACACACCCATTATTTATAGGGGTTCAACCATCTGTGATGCAGGATTTCGCAACCATCCACAGTATGTTGGGCTTTTTCCCATGGCCATGTTTGGTGAGAGGGTAGAACCATGATTGGGCTCAGGCTTAGCAGCCAGAAGCGTTGCAAAGTAGTGCCCCCCAGTTCTGTAAGTTGGTTAAGTAATAACTACCATTAGGAAAAAGAGTAACTGACATTGGAGTTATAAACCGACTTAGCTAACTATGAGGCACCACCTTGTGATACGTTGTTTATATCTAACATAAACCGGTATATCATGTGGTTATGTGTGGTTATTACGCCCCTTACAAACGCTTCGCACCCTCAGCTGCAGCCACAACCCCTTACATACATCATTCACCACTTAGACAATCAAACCACTGCGACTATCACATGTTCGTGTCAAAAAGGGATGATTACCCTCTGGTACTAACATAATTATGGAAAATCACAATTTTTAATAGGTAAATCACCTATACATGGCCATTTTCAATAGCAAACTGTTAGTCATTACAAGAGGGTAAATCATAATGTCAGCAGAAAGGCTGTGAATCTTAAGCTCCAAGAAGCCGAGGAAGTTGGTTATCCCACTGTTGAAGCTGTTGGTTAGATGTCCAAAGAAAATTTCATTCCGATTCCCCATGAATTCTTGATGAAATCACATGATATGCCCAACTTGTTCTTGTTTCATTGCGGCAAGAGTTTATATAGAGTATAACTGGTTGGTGGTTTGGAACATGTTTTATTGTTCCATATATTCGGAAGAATCATCCCAACTGACTAATATTTTTCAGAGGGGTTGAAACCAAGGTGTTGCGGCTCAAACCCCCCACGTGCGCTCAGGGTTGACCAACACCTTAGCGGGTTTTCGTGTGTACCCGCGGGTTATTTTGCAATAGTTGGAATTTTGCAATCTGGCCTTACAACATTTCACTTTGCTCACTGTCATTCGATTGACTGATCAAAACTGATTTGTTTGGACTCTTTGGTGATTTTTCCATTTGGCATCACTGAACCTGCGCGCTGATATCGACATTGTCTATCTCGTGCTCTTCATCTACCATTTGGGAACACCTGACAACCAGCCTCTGCAGTGTGCTACATACACTGATTTTTGGTTATTGCAATTCAACTCCTGGAATTTCAAACGGGGGTGAGCTCCCCATACCTTTTTTCTGGCTCCATCTGGCTCTGCACTGGCCGACAGTGATCCTTTTGCGTGAGCAACAGTTGAGGGACAGGTTTGACTTTCCGAGTGATACTTCAGGGACGCCTCTGGCTTCTGCAGTGAGCCAATCACTGGTGATTTTTGTGTCTTGTGCATGTTCTTCCTCGCCCTGGTCTTTGGTGTAATCTTTACTCAGCAGCAGCTGCAAAACGGCTACACCTACAGAGAGAAGAGCTGCCAGACGTGCACGTGCGAAGGCCCGTCACCAACTGCATTTGTGCAAGATTGGAGTGACCCCCTCGTCGCATCAGCACGTCCACAGTTGGATCAGGAAGCTGAGTGCTCACCATTCTCTGGACAAGCACCACATCGAACTGATCAAAGCCAAGATGACGGAATCATCAGGACATGCTTGGAGATGCGTCACCTGTATGAAAATTTGTGGCAAAAGCCACCAGTTTTGCGGAGTATGTGGAAAATCATGGCACCTCTGTGCGGACCCTACCTTTGTCCCGGCCTCTTCCAGCACCAGACAAGTCCAATGGTCCTATGCCACCAATTGGAACGACCCCGCTTGGGAGGATACAGCCTGGCCGCAGGAGCAGGACAATGGGGAACAATGGACGGCATCTCCACGACGACGTACAGTACCGAGGAGAAGATCGAAGAAGGCCAAACCGCCGCAGCAGGAAGGAAAAGCAAAGGGCAAAGGCAAGGCTCAACGGAAGAATCCCGAGGGGGAGACTCTTGGCCCGCCATCCATGGCAAGCCTGGCGGCAGCAGATCCACCATGGCTTACCAGCCTTATGCAGCAGCCACCAGTGACACCAACGCCGAGTGCGACCCCACCGGAAGACAAGCAGATCAAAACGATCATGGCCGCCCTGCGCAAGCACAACGACACCTTGCCGCCAGAACTGCAGGCCTTCGTGTCCGAAGCAGCTCAGAAGGAAAGCCAGCAGAAACCAAGCAGATGCACCATGCCGTAACAGCACATGGGAAAGCCAAGAAGGAGCTCCAGCAAGCCCAACTGGCACGCCTCAATTTGCATGCAGCATGGCGAGGTTTCCTTGGACACGCAGTCAACCTGTGGCAAGGCTACAGTGCTCAATTTGTAGCGCAGGAAAAACAAATGGCGGAACGTGTTACAGCAGCGGTGGACGCCCTAGATCAGGCCAAAGTCAACTTGGCAAAGTCCAAGCAGACAGCCGGAGTAGAAGTCAAGGACGATGCAATGACCATCAGCGAGGACGACACAGAAAAAGATGTCTCAGGGCCGGCAGCGGAGAAAATCAAACAGGGGATTTCCAATCTCCATTCCAGCCTCGAAGCCCTCAAGTCCTCCGCAGAACAAATGGTAGAAGAAGAACAGCAGGCCTTAAAAAGGCCAAGAACAACTGCATTTGCCCCGGAGCCCTCTGCTCCAAATTCAGGAGAGATGCCGGATTTTGGCTAGGCCCAGCTAATATCACGTTGGACGATATTGCCCCAGGGCCGTCATGTCATGATGTTGATGCACACCCCATGATACCCAAGTGGTTGCACACAATCGTGCATGACCCTACATACCTCTCTGAATGGGCAGCAATTGACCAGGCCAGGCACTTGGCTTGGCACCTGGGTTGTTCTCTCCCCAAGTTCCTGACCCAGCAGTGTGAAAAAACTGAGACATGCAAGGCCAAGTCGACCAGCAAGCATGTCAATTTTGCCGATTATGTAGACGTGCACCTCTATTCGGAAGTTTCACCTTTCTCCATTGTTTCACAAACAAGCCACCGCAATGTCCATGCTACCATTTTGTCGGACACTGCCAATTTTGACAGTTTTGTGATGCACCCCAAGGGGATACCAGATACTCATATCCCCCAATTTTGGACAACACGTGAAGCGCCTGCCGTGAACAGAAGCACCACAGCAGCGCACCGGACCTACTTTTGCAGTTTTGACCGAGATGGAACCGACCAAAGTCCTGCGATGATAGCGAGGGTGCAATCGGCCCACTTGAACCTGATGCATTCCCTCGACCAGCCTGGCACTGAGCACGAAGTAGCCCAGGTGCCCCTTGCTGGCTATCAAGGTTCCAGCACACATGAGGCGATGACCCTGCACAGCCCCATGATGCAAAAGCCTGCTCAGACCGATGTTGCCCAACCGCCAATACAGCAGTATCGATTAGAGCATCAAAGTCCGTTGGATGAGCAAGCTGCATCTGACGACCAGTCAGACGATGAGCAGGACACCCCCGGTGAAGACGACAACAACCAGCAACCATATCAGCCAGCCTTTGCCAGCAGGCTTGAAGCACTGCTCAGAGCCAGAAATCTTTACCCTGATGACGGGGATTTTGACCTGCCTGTCAGAACATGGTATATCAATCACAACTCAGTACATCGATGGACCTCACCACGGTTGTTGCAACTTGTAGGCCAACCTCACACATGGGAAGCCCAGATCACCTCTTTATGGATGGATCAAATCGATGACCAAGACTGGTATGATGTTGTGGTAGTCCAACCTGACCCACCACGGATCCCCCGACATCATTTTGTTGTGCTTGACCTAATTGTCACCCAGTCCCTGGAATCTACACGACAGCCAGGTTTGATCACTGTGCTGCCAACCAGACCAGAAATTGGAGACATGTATGCAGTAGCCGGCTCATTTCCTGATACCATCAGTGGTCAAGATGTCATCCAAATTGCTGATGCAGGCGCATTTTGCAGGTACCGCATTTGCACAATCACGCACAGATGGCAGCAAATCCCACTGACGCTCACACCCGCCCACATTGTTGGACCGGGGGATGGATATCAAATTGTGATCCATGTACCTCGTCTCGCACGGCCGCCAGGTGATTTAGATGTATATGGTGATCAGAGCAGAGATCGCCCTATTGAGCAGGCCACCAAAAGGAGCCGTAGTGAACCAGCCAGTTCGTCTACAGGGCCTGGACTGAGCACTGGTTCCACAGTTCGGGACACGCCTATGCTGCATATTTTCCAGCTTGAAGGACAAGAAGTCCTGGTGCCTTTGGAAGTGTCACAACAGCTGCTGCCTACGCACGAGTTGGCCAATCTCCTGCAGGTACCCTTTGATTGCCTGGAAAGTTTTCATTTCATGCCGATACCCCCAGATGGACTGCCTGAACAGGATGTTGCAGCCATTGTCCAAAGGACAGGAGATGTACAGCTCCGAACCACAGATAGGCTCATCTTGATTGACATCATGTATCATCATCATGAAACGGGTCTACATTCAGCCAACTGTAGTCAGAGAAGTCAAACGAGTCGGATACCAAATCATCCGACCGCACCTCCTCATGACTGCAGCTTTGTTTCACTACTGCCAAGCGCTGACAGACCATTGCGAAGTTTTTCTTGATGGAGTCATCTGGCCTGAATCCGACCACTCCCCTCGACCGGTGGAACATGGATCATATGCCCTCATTGAAGTCTCACCTCCTGCTGGATACCAAGTCGACACTCGGCTTGCGGTACGCACCTTACAGGCCGATGGGGAGACGGATGCATTCATGCAGGAATTTCGAGAGTTACACCAGCAAGACGACTCCATGCAGCTTACCCAGATTACTGCCAAAGTACACAGGAGAATCCCTGTCAGAATCTCCCCACATAGCCATTCGAATGCACTTGCTGTTGCAGGACAGTTGGGAGCGGTACTGCAGTCCATTACTGATCTGAACCCCCAACCCTTGGGCAACAGCGTAGGTGAGAATTGCATCGACCCATCAAGGATTACTTGGTGGTCGGTTTTTAGATAGAATACATGTAAATACTTATAGCACTTGACCTACTTACACAAACTTACAAGTTAACTTAGGAAACTTAACTTTTTAATTGTAGCTCTAAGTAACATAAGTTAAATATAAGTAACTTGCAAGTTTTTTAAGATATTTTAAGTTATTTTGAACATGAAAGGAGAGGTATTTTAGCAGTTTTTTTCTTCATCATCGCGTTTTGCATTTTTATTTTTTGTGTTGTAGAAACCTTTGTTTCGTAAGTTTTCTTCGAATTTCTTTGCTGCACTTGAAAATTTGATGATGTTTTTAAACTTTGGGTTGGACAATCTTAATTTGGAAAAAATAAAAATGAGAGAGTTGCTGCCCAAATGGCCGCAGGATAGAACATCCACGGATGACCAAAGGCGTGCGACGTGTCATTCTAATTCGGTTTGGTTTCATATCATATGATGTCATTGTACGAAAGCATGAACCAAAAAGACCACAATATACCTGAATGTGTATGGATGTGTATGGATGTGTAAGGATGTGTAAGAATGTGTAAGTCAAAAAAAAATCCACTTACACATGTGTAAACCAAAAAAATCCACTTACACATGTGTAAACCCAAAAAAAATCCACTTACACATGTGTAAACCCAAAAAAAATCCACTTACACATGTGTAAAAATGTGTAAAAATGTGTTTTGTGTAAAAATGTGTTTTGCATTTTCTGTTTTTTGCAAAATATGATATGCCTTTGCTGTCATATACGCATTTTCTCTCAGGCCTCAGTCAAGATCAAAACAGGGGCTGTGGCCTCATGATCTTTCCAAGGGCCCGAACGCTTTTTACTTCGTATCCATCCTGTTGTCCAAACGAGAAGAGGACAAGATATCAACAAAAAAACTCAGAATCACAAAACTTTTCCCGATAGGCTTCTCATAGAGCCGCCTTCCGACAAAAATATCAAAAAATAAAAACATGTGGTTTTAATTCGTTTCCAACCCAAACCTTGTTTTTTATATGTTTTTATTCCAACACAAAAAATAATAGCTTTAAAAATCCAAAAAAGTTAAGTTTCCTAAGTTACTTATAAGTTATTTAAGTTGTTTTTTGTTAACTCAAAACAAAATAACTTTAAAAAACTTACCATCTAGTTTATCGTTGGTAACTACTTACAACTACCGTAAAATAAGATACAAACTTAGTTTACTTAGCTTAGATACACTAGGGTTGTAACTACCTTACAACTAGGTTACAAGTTACTTGCAAGTGCTGTAAACCAAAACCGACCACCAAGTACAGAGACGAGTCATGCCGATTGCCCCGGTAAGGAGCTGTTACATCCAGCTGACACGCCACAAAACAGGGAACCCCCTGTACAGACCGTGTCCACGACAGTGAGTGAGGTTGCAGCAGCCGACGTTAGCGATCAACCTCCGCAGAACCTGATTGTACAGCTGTCTCCGACCTTGAAACCCCTGTACAGTGCCACTGGCCACAGTCAGAATGTCCACAGGCAATGCACGCTGCATCGGTACTTTGGTAGAGCCAAGACCACACCAAAGCGTAACTCCTCCTTGTGTCCTCGAAGGGGTCAGACCACGCTGCATGCCTTTTTCCCCACCAAAGCACTAGCCAATGAGCTACCAGCTCCTACAGATGATAGCCTCACAACCGATGCGGTCACACCGACGAAGCAGCCGCCAGACCAACTGCAAGATGTGACACGACTTGCACAGGACCATACGGTATCGCCACCCTCTTTCACCACCAGCAGGCCGAGATTGAATGGAGCAGAAGGGCAGCAGCGCCCACCACGACCATCGTGGCACATCCATCTTGACAACCTGTTTGAGGAAATGGCCACCACGGTCCACCCAGAGACTGGGCCTGTCCTTCATGTGGAGGTTTGGTACTTGCACCATGATGCTTACCCTGAGTGCCATGCACCACGAATGGTTGAACTTGACAGCACTCGTGAGTTCTGGTACGCTGACCTCTGCATGGCATGGCTAGACCACATAGCACGCACTCAACCGTTACGAGTTCTCATTCTGCTCCCCAGGCCTCCGTACCAGTTACGTGCCCAGGCTGATGTACACGTTGTCCTTGAGCAAGGCATTGACCCACAGAAAGCTGCGCTGCATTTCACAGCCATTTTTCTTGGAGGTACCCGAATGGGACTATTCCAGCGTGTGGAGTCCACATCCAACAGAATTTGCACACACAGGACATGATTGAGCGCCATGGTTTTCAAACCCAATGCAGCTTCCGTACATGCCACATGCACTCAGGCCTACTCAGATTCATGATGACCGAAAGGGAGGAAATCTTTTCCGGCATGAGTGCAGTCCTTACAGTGGGACCCATGCCGACTCCGCATCCAGCTGTGGAAACCACTGGACGAAGTCGCCCTGTCACAGATCATGAGCCCGAAGCCGAACCTGACTCCGACCTTTCTAGTACGATGCAGTTAGGCTCAGCCCAGCCAGGTAACCAAACGAGCTCACCCAACGGCAGTCGACCCTCAGCGTCCAGTAGAACGAATGGCACGGACACTGCAATGCTCAGCCATCGCATTCCGCCTCATGACCTTAGTGAATTCCGGCAAACTCTTGCATGGCACATTAACACGGGCCCAGCTGCCTGCATTCACCAAATGAATGCGCCAGTCACTGTGCACACTTGGTTTCTGGACTCACTTCGGGTCACTCACACGGATGTCTCTAGGCCGGTTCAACTGTCGCCACAACAGTCCACCTGGCATAGGGATATACTTGCACGATGGCAAGACAAGTTGGACCCAACTATGCCCACGCAGCTCCATGTGGTCACACCCATGTTGCCGGAACCTGAGGATGATGCAGCCGCCCATGTCATCTTGGTTCAACGACCCAATGACCTTTGGCGTGCTGCTCTGCTATCGGTTTCTGTTGACCACAGACCCATGGACAGCCCCAAATATTATTGTGTCATGTTGGATCGTGAGACTGATGTTGAACAGCTGGGATTCATGTCCTTGATCAAGCATCCCTCCAATCCTCAGGCTGACAATTACTGGATCCAAGCCAAGCATGGCGAGATCCTGATCCCTGCCGATGCCACATTTCCAGTGCGAAATGGTTTCAGTTTTGAGCTTACAGCCTTCCGAAGAGATGACCCTTGGGATGATGGGACGTCACTGATCCAACTGCAGTTTGCCAAGATTAGACAAACCATCAGCTGCCTTCACCGCATGATTTCCTGTTCGGCACAGGAACACATGATCAATGAGCTCCTTCAGGGGGCTGATGCCAGCCTGCAACCGATATATGTCACAATTGATCCAAGCAACAATAATCAGATCTGTGACCATTTTGCGGCTCTGACCTTTTTTGCCACACTTCAAGCCCTGTGGCAGCCAATTGCAGTACGAACCATGTCTCCGGTGCACCCGTTGGTAGCTGTCCAGACATGGTATCTGGACCACATCAGATACCCCCAGAATTTCGTTGCCAGGACCGTTCTGTTGCCTGCCAATCCCGAAGAATGGATCCAACGTATCCGAAGTGTATGGCATGATGTCATTCTGCCAAGCTGCCAGGTGCACCTAGTGATCGTTCAGCCTGATCCTCCCCTGTTGGAGTTGACCACGGCAGCACACATTTTGGTTGTACAGCAGCCAATTTCAGGTTTCAAAGCAACGCTATTCACTGTTTTTGACTCAGCGATGCCGATGCAACCTCCGGAACGTTTTGCGTCCATTGCCCCGTCACTACTCCCTCAAAGTACGTTGCTCGCACTTGCATATAGGGACATCCAATGCCAGCAACCAACAATCGATTGCTCAACATGGGTAGGTGATGAAGAAATCTTGCCTGGACAGAATGCCCCTATTATTGATGGACACTCCTTAGCCACTGCGTTGCACCAACATCACCAACCTGGGCAAGATGATGATGATGCCTGGAACCACATCCAGAGGCCGAGGAGTCACCAGGGCAACTTGAAACCACACCTGATGACCCCAGTGAGGGGTGACCCTGGAACCCACGTCCAAGGAGCAATTGATGGGAATTGCGTCACAGAGCAGAGAAAAAGAACCCCTGTACAGCTCCACTTGGAAGCGGTGATTCCTGATGACAAAACACGTGCTGACTCTGAGTTAGATGACTCCCTGCCTCAGATGCTCTGGTTTACAGATGAAGCATGGCTACTCCGCATGCGACGATGTCCGCCGTGCAGGTTGCAACCCTTGCCTGAAGGCTTACGCCTACCGGATGTTTGCTATTGGCCATTTATACATCCCATGCCACCTGACCCTGACTCTACCAGCCAGCTCACCCTGTACCTGGATGGGTCGGCGAACGGCACCCATGCCGCATGGAGTGTTGTAGCAACGTTACAAGTCACCCAATCTGACCAGGTGATCGAAGCATTCATTGGATGCCTCTATGGAGTGGTGCAGATCTCACCTGCCCACCCCACATGGGTGGGTGCCCATACCATGGATAACGTTGCTGCGGAGCTCTCAGCACTTGCCTTTGCGCAGCAGGTAGCCTTGCGTTGGCCTCATGAGCACAGCATTTGTGTACGGCCTGATTTGTCGCTTAGCCGACTTGTTGCAACTGCTACCACGGTCTGCAAATCCAACAGGACGCTCTTCCAAATATGCCGGGCTCAGGGTTACTGGTTGGCCCAAAACACCCACATCAAGGAAATCCGCGGCCACAAAGGGTTTGCATGGAATGAACTGGCCGACACGGTTGCCAAATGGGCCATGCATCATGCGCCTGAGACAGCCACGGATGAGTTTGAAGCCCTCCATGACTTTGCCACCCACCAGCATGACGTTGCCTGGACATGGATGCAAACCACTCACAAATCAATGACAGCTTGTTACCCCCCCCTCATTGAGCAGCAGGTCCTGCAAATCACGAAGTCGGACTTGAAGCTTAGGGTTAAGCCCATTGAGCATAGTGATGAACTCCACCAAGATAACAATGAAATCTCGTGGATGCTTCGCACGACCTCTGCAAACGTCCTTGCTGTTGATGTACGTAGTGTAAAAGGCATGCCATCCCGGCGAAACAGCCACCGCACCATACGACTTGACCAGCAATGGCACAAGCTCCAAACACATGTCATTGGAGTTCAAGAGGCACGCACTCCCCCGGGTCAATATCAGTCCATGCACTACAAGATTCTGGCATCCGGAGCTACAACCACCAAAACACCGCTGTATGGGTGTGAATTGTGGATTCATAGGTCATTGCCCATGGCCCAAGCCAAAGATGGCACACCTTTGACCCTTGGAGATGCCAAGCTTGTCGTACACCATGCCGATCCCAGACGCCTCATTGTCAGAGCCCAGCTGGAATCCATTAGCTGTACGTTCATTGTTTTGCATGCGCCCTGCCAAAGCAATCCCGTACCAGGGCAACCAACGCCTGGTGAGAAAGTCCAAACCTGGTGGGATGAAACCAGCCACATCCTCACCAAATGTGGCATCACAGGATTATGTTGGCTGTTTGTTGATGCAAATGCTCCACTGGCCGACACAGCTACTGACCTCATTGGCCCTCTCGGCGCTGAGCCCACGAATGCAGCCGGGGAAGCCCTGACGGAGTTCCTACAAGCCCATCGACTCGCAGCACCGTGCACTTTTGCCCAGTACCACCTTGGTCAGACGCAAACATGGACCCATGCAACTGGCAAAAGAAGCCGCAAGGACTATATCTTTATCCCTGCTCACATGCTCCCGTGTGTGAGGTCCAGCAGTGTTGATGTCTCCCATGATACCACGTTTGCACATGAAGACCACATTCCGGTCACCCTCATCTGCAATGGATGGCATACTCCAGTGCAGCCACCCCCGCGATACACATGGGACGAAGAGAAGCTCTTGGACCCAGCCCGATGTGCCGCTTTTCAAGATGCTCTGCTCACCCTACCCATTCCTAAATGGAGGGTGGCTGTTGACGATCATGCGGCCATTGTTGAAAAACAGGTCCTGGACCTTGGCCAACAATTCTTTTCCAGAACCTCTTCCAAGGAACGCAAAATCGCCCTCGAAGAGGACACTTATGCCCTCATTGCCTTCAAGCGACAAGCACTTGATTATGGCCGCAAGAATGGGGTTATCCATGACAGATGCTTCCGGAATGAGCTCAAGTTGGTGGAAAAAGAGGTTGCCAAGCTCGTGCGCAGAGACACACAAAAGCACTACGACCAAGTGCTCGCAAAGCTCGATGCTGCAGGAGAAATGTCCAATCACAGGCTTGTCTATAGGATCCTCCATAGACTGGGCCGCAAGAAAGGTGGTACGCCCCCAGGCCCTAGGCCGCTCCCAATGTTGCGCAAACCAGATGGAACGCATGCCCAAAGCTACAATGAGCAGCAAATGATGTGGATGGAACAGTTTTGCGCCATCGAAGCGGGCCTGCCCATTACATGGCCTGAACTCCTGCGCAAGAATGAGGAGAACAAGGAAACCATGAGGCCCACCAAGTTGAACCAGCAGTGTTTCCGACAGCGTGGGACATCCAAGCTGGGCTAGCCTCGCTTAAGCGGGACAAGGTCCCCGGCCCCAACAACCTGCCTCCAGCCGTCATGAAGGCTGGAGGAGAAACGCTCGCCAGGCACCTTACCACGCTTTTCACAAAAACAACTGCCCACGCTGCTGAACCGCTGCATTGGAAGGGTGGACGCCTTGTCCCCCTTTGGAAGGGGAAAGCAGCACCAGATTTGGCACATGCCTACCGAAGCATCTTCATCTCGAATTACAGTTCTAAACTGTATCACCAGACAGTCAGGCGCCACCTAGTCAATACGTGGGAAGCCGGGATCCGACACCTTCAATGCGGTGGAAGACGCGGAGTCGGCACTGACGTAGCCCACCATATTGTGCAGTTGCACCAACATTGGGCCACAGTAGCCAAGCTCCCCACTGCCGTGCTTTTCCTTGACCTTAGATCTGCCTTTTACATGGTTTTGCGTCAAACCATCACCTCTGTGCCGTCCAACAATGAGGCTTTTTTGGCGGCCATGGAGAAGCTTGGTCTACCCCTTGATCAAGTCCTTGCCATGGCCACCTCGGCCGAACAGGAAGTTGCCACAGAGGGGCTGTCCAACCACCTCCAGCGTGTGCTGCATGACATGCTCACCAATACACACTTCACCACCCAAGGGATAGCGGATCCATGCCTCACCACGCGAGGCACCAGACCTGGAGACCCAGTGGCGGACATCCTGTTCAACCTTTGCATGTCCAAGCTGCTGACTGACTTCCACGCCATGATGGAAGATGCAGGCACACTACCCTGGTTAGGCCAAGCCAACTGGGTAACCGATTTCAGTAAGGCAGAGCCCCTACCCAGTGAAGGGTACATTGATGTCACGTTTGTGGACGACTGCGCCATCCTTGTACATGCCAAAGATAATCATCGCTGTTGAAGCCTTCACAGCTGCAGCCTCCAAGCGAGGCCTGGAAGTCAACTTTGACAAAGGCAAAACCGAATTGTTGTGGTCGATCACTGGAAAGGGAGCGCGGGTGGCCAAAGAACAAGTCTTCCACTCAGGGCAATGCCTTCGATGGGACAGCAATGCGGGTTCCTACAGTCTTCATGTCTCTCATCAGTATAAGCATTTGGGAACCTGGACACAGACCAAGCACAGACACACCAAGGAAATCAATGCCAGAGCCAGTGCAGCACGTCAACAATGGGGGCAATTAGCCAGATCGTTCTTCACCAAAAAGTTGGCCCTGGCGACTCGAGCCCAAGTGTTTCAAAGCTTGGTAGTGTCCAAGATGCTGTACAACTCGCATGTATGGACAGGTGTCAAAGAACCTGAATGGGATAAATGGACGAACCAGCTCCGTGGGCCTATTGCACTGCTTATGAAGGGCGTCCTAGCATCCGCCAGAAAGTTTAACCACACCACAGACCACCTTTTTGCCTGGTGTGGTATACTGCCGCTGACCCAGCAGGTGCACGCAAACCGCTTGAGGTTTGCTCAGCGACTCTTCAAGCAATGCCCGACCATCACCTGGCGCCTCATGCAAACTGATGACACGAGCGGCTCCTGGACGCAGATGCTTCGCCACTCGTTTCAGTGGCTGCAGCGCCACTATGACAAGCCCCACGTTCTGCCAGCCACGACCGACCTCGCCCATATCCAGCTAGACCCCTACTGGAAGGGCAGGATCAAGAAAGCAACACGGCTGGCCCTGCACTATAACATGGCCCAGGCAGAGCACTCGGTCTGGCAACACAACTTTGAGGCCACCTTGGAAGCAGCAGGTGCCACCCTGCCTAAGGACCCCACAGCCACACCCGGACCTGAGAGATGGATGTGTGATCTTTGCAACAAGGTCTTCCAGTCCACCCGAGCGCTTGCTATGCATGCCAGCCGTGAGCACGGATACCGGAAAAAAGTCCGATACTTTGCCGTAGGTGACACTTGCCCTGTGTGTTGTCAGCTGTTTCATACCAGACACCGACTGGCAATCCACTTGGAAAAGAACCCAAAGTGCTACGACGTGGTGCAGGCCTGTTGGCCACCCATGCCTCAGGACCAGGTTGACTCCTTGGATGCTGAAGACAAACAGGTTGAAACGGAACTACGACGGGCAGGATGGTGGGCCTCGAAAGCCTTCGACCCAGCCGTTCAGACAGCTGGACCCCGGCTTCCCCCCCTCCATGACCCTGCCTGCGCAATCCTGTACAACAAAATGGTCAGCCGTCGCCCGCCTGATGAGGTGGCCTACCACTACCTGCAGGGTCGCCGTGTCGAAGTTGACAACACCACCCACCCTGGCCTGTGGTGGCACAACAGTGATCTTCCATCCTTCATTTTCCAGTCACCGCAAGGCGTCGACCCTGGTGGAGGAGCTTTTTGCATGCGAGGATTGGCAAGAGATGCAGCGAGACTGCACATCCGAGCCCTTGTGGTTGTGCATTTCTTTAGCGGATACCGCCGTGAAGGTGATTTGCACCAAATTATCGAGCAGGCAGTGCAAACCAATGGAGATCAGATCTTTGTGCTCTCGGTCGATCTTTGTATGCAGCGCCAAAAAGCTGACCTTGCGACCCACAGTGCTCTGGTATGGTGGAAAAGCAGAGCCTATGCTGGGCAGCTGATCTCGATTGGTGGCGGGCCACCTTGTGAAACGTACACGGCCGCCCGACAAAGTGATGACCTTGGGCCCCGACCGCTCCGCTCCAACCTGGAGCCCCTCGGGTTGCCAGGTCTCACAGCTAAAGAATGGAACCAAATCCATATAGGGGATAGGCTTCTCCGATTCCTCCTCGACATGTTGCTGACAATGGCCCTGATGGGCTATTCAGGATTTGTGGAACATCCACAATATCCGACCTGGACCAGGCGAGAGGATGTCACAAGCATTTGGTGCCTCCGCGCCACCAAGCTCCTGCGGCGTCTGAACTGCGTGACAGTGGTGAGCTTCGATCAATGCACATGCGGGGCTCAAGGGCGCAAGCCCACCACACTGTTGTTGGTGCGACTGAGCCAGGTGAGAAGAAGCCTGTTGGCCCTGGGCCGTGGAGGACGATGTGACCACCACAGGGGGGCCCATCAAGCCCTTATCGGCAAGCAGGAGGATGGAACATTCCAAACCGCGAAAGCGAAAATCTATCCCTACGGGCTCAATTTGGTGTTGGGTCAGGCTATGCACGCCTTTGCGGTTGACCATTACACCGACAAGGTTGCTGCAGTGTTGCCTGACGAATTTGCACCCTATACAGAGCAGTTTTTCATGGATCACACTGAAGTCCAAAGAGACTATCATGGATGATCTGCTGCTGGTGCATTCCTTGCATGTCGATACCGAGTGCTGATCCAGCACAGCAGAGGCAATGGTAAAAAATGGGGTTGAAACCACCAACCAGATATAGTATAAATTTGTTTGAGAAAGCATCAAACGTGTCCATGTCTCAAACTGATATTTGAAGGATACTCCCAACCATGATGAAAATTAACAGTGTCTAATGTTTTCCTATTGTTACGGCAATACCCTATGGTTTGCCCGCAAGGTTAGAATGGAGTTCAAATAGTATCCTTCGACATGCTCAAAAACCTGCGCAGTGCCAGTGTTTTGGTATTTAATACCAGACGACGAACCCTAAACCCTAACCCTGAAAACGCTGAATCCAAAAGCAGAAAACACTGCGTATACGCAGTATTTTTTGCAATTTCTCTTCTCATGTTCGACGACAGGGAATCCTCTATGTTGCAGTCCGGGCACACCACTTATACTGTTGATATTGTTGGTTATGATATCCCCGTAAGAACCAGGCATCAAGAATGAAGTGGCATAATGATATCTCTATTGTTGGTTTATTTATCCCCTTGTATAATGAATAATATGATCATAAATGTTACAATGTAACCAACACAACCACTATCACTGTCATCAGATATCATTTATAACCACTGTAATTATAATAGTATAATTGTATTCCTATTGTTGGATATACATATATAATATGTATTAATATGTTATAATATCATCGCTCGATAACCAATCATCAAGAAAGAAGTGGCTAATGATATCACAATTGTTGGTTTTGTTCCCATCATAACCACTATGAAAGCCATTTTAACCACTATAATAGCCATCAACAATCTATAATAACCAGCCATCAATAAATCTCTATTGTTGGTTATATCCCCAATGTTCTCATTTATATCCCACTATAATATCCCCATGGATTAAAAGTGACTAATCCTATTGTTGGTGATATTGGTGGTTATAATATCCGCTTAAGAACCAACCATCAAGAACGAAGTGGCATAATATGAATAATGATACCTGTATTGTTGGTTATATATATATGTATCTATATATATATATATATATATCCTTATTTAATCATGAAGGTTATATCTCTATTGTTGGTGATGTTCCCATAACCATTAAGCACTATGAAAGCCATGTAATACCCTCTGGTAATTTAACATAGCTATTGAAAATGGCAATGTTTAATGGGAAAATCCACGAACCAAATGGCCATTTCAATAGCAAACTGTTACAGTAGTCATTACCAGAGGGTAACCATGAAATATATCACTAGCTAACCATTTATGGTGGATTTACCCATTAAAAATGGTGGATCTTTCCATAGTTATGTTAGTTTTCCAGAGGGTAATCACCATTAATCACCATGTAATAACCATGAAGAATCTGATCACTTCCTTATTGTTTCCGAGGAAATATCCCCAACCGCTACACCCAGCGCGAGTTCATCAAGGAGGTTGATGATCTGGGCTTTGCGGCCACCTACGACTTTCTGTAAGCCGGGAATGAATCAACGGAACGGCGGAACGGGGCGGGGTTTATGGCGTTTTTTTGGTGGTTTTATGGCGGTTTTATGGTGATTCTATGGGATTTTATGGTGGTTTTATGGTGCGAATATGATGATTATGGTGGACATTGTGTGGAATTTTATGGGATTTCTCAGTGGGATTGTATGGAGAGGAAAAGGGCAAAAAAAATGACATAGTTATGGTATTTATCGTCCGGGTATGCCGGTCGGGATTTCATGGGATTTCAGATGAGAACTTTTTGGTCATCTGTCTCAGATGAGAACTGTTAATGGGATTTAATGGTTCTTGGAATTTAATATATGATGTTGACTCTTTGGTAATCTGTTTGCAGTTTGCGAAGTGCAAACTATGGCATGAAATGGCCCATTTAACGAGAAATGATTTAGCCATAGAAAAATAATTCATATTACCAGGTTAAATGATAAATTGTTGTTGTGGTTGTGGTTGTGGTTGTGGTTGTTGCTGTTGTTGTTGTTGTTGTCGTTGTTGTCGTTGTTGTCGGTGTTGTTGGTGTTGTTGGTGTTGTTGGTGTTATTGTGGTTGTTGTGGTTGTTGTGGTTGTTGTGGTTGTTGTGGTTGTTGTGGTTGTTGTGGTTGTTGTTGTGGTTGTTGTGGTTGTTGTTGTTGTTGCTGCTGCTGTTGTTGTTGTTGTTGTTTCTGGTTGTTGTTGTTGTTGTTGTTGCTGGTTGTTGTTGTTGTGGTGGTGGTGGTGGTGGTCGTCGTCGTCGTCGTCGTGGTTGTGGTTGTTGTTGTTGTTGTTGTTGTTGTTGCTGGTGTTGTTGTTGTTG